AGTGTGCTCCTAAGTCGGACAGTTGAACTCTTGCAAGAGATTATAAAAAGCATCCTGTAAGGAATCTGAGCACCCTCTTTATGCACAGCTGTATCTTCGTATTTCATAAGGTAGTACTGGAAACAGTTATAAAAGACTTCGTACACACACCAGTTAATATAAAAATCCAACGGCGCCTTATTCGCCACACATTTTCGGTGGTGAAAAAAGTGTTAGGCATGAAACCACTAACTTGTTGAGGAAAAAGTAAGTAGGCGACTCTTCCCATCTCTACGATCAAATCGCATTACTACGGATCATCATTGAACATAGGTTGGAATGGCAGTCAGCTCTCTATCTCAACTTCATTGACTTCGAAAAAGTCTTTGATAGCGTCGATCAAGAGGTAATTTGGCAACTACTACGCTACTACGGGGTGCCGCCAACAATTATACACCTCATCCAACAGTTGTACAACAATGCTGGACGCCAAGTAATCCACAACGGGAAACTCACGGAATACTTTGAAGTGAAGACAGGAGTAAGACAAGGCTGTATGGCTGACCACTATCTCCAATGAATTTCCTGATTAGGTAGACTGGATAATGCGACAGAGAGGGCGCACACAAAATACTTGGAGGATATGGATTTCGCCGATGATATAAGTCTGAATTCCCACAAACTGGAAGATATGCAAGCGAAAAGCAACAAGTTGGCAGAAGAAGCATCAAAGGTAGGACTCCAGGTGAACATAGAGAAAATAAAGGTGATGAAGATTCCTGGCCAACACCAGCAGTCACAGCAACAGAAAACAATCAGCATAAATGGGAGGAATCTGAAAGAAACAACCTCCTTTACCTACTGACCTACCTGAGAAGCATAGTTTCTACTACAGGCGGACGGAACTGATGAGGATATCAAAGCAGCGAGGATCGAGGAAGCAAGACAAGCTTTCACTACTCTCAAGTCAGTGTGGAGGAGATCAACACCATTCAGAATGAAAAGTAAGATCCCGATTTTCGAATACAATGTGAAGTTAGTGCTACTATATGGATTAGAGACTTGGAGCGTCATGAAGAGCAGCTCAAACAAACTACAGACCTTTATCAGCAACTGTCTTCGCTCGATACTCAAGAACAGATGGCCGGCCAGAAAAGATCAGCCACAGGGATCTCTGGGAGCGAACAAACCATCCAGGAATCAACTGTGCAACAAATATGCAGAAAGAAATGCAGTTAGGTGAATTGACCGTACTCTGAGAAAACCGTCAAGTGACATCACACACCAGGTCATTGCTCGAGTGGAAACCGAATGGGAATCGGAGAGTTGGTTGTCAATTCGAGGGTGACATGGAGGAGGTAATGCGAAGAGGAGATGAAAGTATTTGACAGACGTGGAGCTAGATGAAATCGTTGATGAAGAGCCGAACGCAATGGAAACGTACGGCTGAAGCCCTATATCCCTCTAGGAATCCCATCTCTACTATCATTATTACGATGTTGTTACTAATTTTATCAATTTTTTAATTTTACATTTATATATTACTGGCATTATTACCATTATTGTCCATACCACAAGATGTTATGTAATTAATGGAATGTAATGTGTTACTACATGCTGAGAATTCCGCTCTGTGTCAGCAGCCATTATTATTAGTAGTTTAAAGTCACACAGGCACTACTCACTAAGAATGGAAATCATGGTTCTTGGTTCTTGATTACAGCTTGATTCCACACCGTTTTTTTGGTATAGGTATGGAATTTTCGGCATGTGATATCGGTAGCCCAAATTTTGCAGGCCGACCATAGATATCAGGTGTGCGTCGGCAGGGTATCGAACCCCGAACCATGTACATGGTCGGCGAGAGTCCTAACCACTGTGCCACCGACGCATTTTGAAAAGCAGTGAAATATTTAGAAATGTTCGTAAGTGAACCCCCTTAGATGAATGTAACGCTGTGGTCTTGAGGTGAATAGGATGTAATGTGCATTGATCCGTCTCCTGGACTGGGTCAAATTAGATTCACCGCTGATGAGCTCGACCAAGTTTGACTGAAACGGTCTTCTGTGTTTAGATCGTCTGGTGGATGTGAGCGGCGCTCAACCACTCATCTCCGTTTATCAGTGGTACACAGTTTTATGTAAATACTTTTCGTCATCTCTGACACAGAAGGATAACAATGGTTTTAATTGATCTTTCACTTATCATACTGATGGGCTTGGAACAACTTTGATTGATGAAATAATCTTTGTTAAGAAAATCGTAAACCAAAGATTAAGATCTTTCGTTAGTCACTTTAAACAGCAGATCAGTTGGTTTAAAGCTAAAGTGCGGTTGCTAGCAGTACTTCCCAACTGGAACAAAAATTAAGTATCTATCCAATAGTGTCTGATTGTTTAAATACTTTCCCACGAATATGAAGGCTTCATTCCAGAAGCGTACATTGCATACCAAATTAAGAAAGTTGCTAGCTTGTGACCAGGACTGCGAGGTATTTCTAACGGAGTGGTTATTATCACTAATTATAACTGACGATATACATTTCTAGATAATGGGCATAGACGAATCATGTCGACTGGTGAAATGTGTTAAATCATGCGATTATATGCATTTGACGGTTATTCAGTTGTTACCTGTAAGTAACATTCTCGGAGTTATTCAGCAGATTTCCTTTCAGACTAGTGAAGAGCTGATCTCATAGGCATCAGCTACCTATCCAAATTTATGTCTGAAGAAAGACTCTTCAAACCTTTAGGAATTGACGTCACACGCAAACCAACAAAATCACTTCACTCAGTTCTGTGTCAACCAAAAGACTCAACAACGAAAGGATATAAAAACAACATCATCTACAAAATAAATTGTAACAACTGCGAAAAGCACTACATTGGCCAAAGTGGATGTCCCCTTCGTCCTCGTATCCACGAACATAAACAAGCCGTCAAAAGACATGACATCCACTCCCTGATATCACTGTATACAGACGACCACGGACATCAATTCGACTGGGATAACGTTCACATAGTAGACAGAGGAAACGACAAGAATGTCAGAGAATTTTTAGAAGCCAATCTGGTATTCAAGCGAATAGTCAATCAATAGCCACATCGAGATAGACAAAATTTATCAACCGATAAGAAAGAAACCTCTCACACAAAGGATCAAAGTTCAAGTCAAAGAAACAATTAGTTCCAACACAAGTGGCCTAGAAGGTGTGAAAACACACAAAAACAATCAATCGCGCCCAAGGTCACCAGGAGAGATGATTAATAAACTCGTGGAGAAATCTAAAAGCTCACTTCAAATTGGAGTATGCGCTGAAGATGTCACCTAGTAAGTTGATGAAGGCTTCTCAAATTAACTATCCAGCGCAGAGAACACAACCAAATCAAAATCATCCACCTGAGCTACAAATCTTCTCTATCATATCTAACTCATATATATATACATACATATATATATTAGAGTTTATTGATATTGATGGACCACTGTAGCTGCAGAACCTACAGCACATGACAAGCCACACTACTCACGAGAGGAATACGTTACACTACTAAAATGTTTAGGGTAGTCGTATAAATTTCTCGGACATCAGAGACTGTTTAAAATAGTGTATCAGGATTCCAGAATTGAATAGCTAGTGACTGTTGGTTACTAAGGTAAAGATCTATTACAGTTTGGCGGATGCACCAAATATTTGTCATTTCAAAAACTGTTAAATTTTAAATTCAATATTCTCTCCTACAGCACACATTTGTGCTGATTTGTCCTATTTCTTTATTTAATGTTTTAAATGAGGCCATAAGAATTCAATGGACTAACTGTTGAATGATGTTTAGGTTGTAAACTGGTCAGTAACCAGAGTAGCGTTTGTCTAGTTCTTTGTTAGGTGCGGACAGAATTCTATCAGTCAAAGCTGCAATGTGGTCTAGATGGCTCGTCATCATTGTGTACTGTGAATTGTTGATAATAGATGGTTGGAGGCAATTGACAGGAAGTCTTGGACACAGGTTTCGTGGTAGTTGGCACTTGTCAGCAATCAATCTTGAAGGAACTCATATCTCTGTTTTGGAATTCTAACTTATCTCACTCAGTGCTTAAGTTAGAGCTGTTACCACTGAACACAAATGAGGAGACTCTAAACTTGCATCTGAAATCTGTATTTTTGCCTCATTTCCAGGCTTCAGGTTTTTCTTCTCTTGAGTCAGTGTATCATGTCGGTTAGTTGGCCAGTGCCTACTCTGTCCTGTTTTACGGGTGAACCTAGTTCCAGTGTTCTCATTGTCCCTCTATAAGAGATGAGATTCCTGCCACTAACACGGCTTGATTATTGGATGGTAAGTGAATTTATTTATATTGACGATGGCTAGCAGTGGGATCCAGGATGTATATTTTGTCCTATTTGGGACTCGTCATCTGGATATGTCTGCAACACCAGTGAGTGATGCTGTATGCGAATTTGTTAAGTATTTGATACAGAGCTAGGTGAATGCCCCAACGTTGAAGTACATTAACAAACCTCAGTTTGTGATATTTGGGATGTACAATCTTTCATGTCGGAATAGAATCAGCAGTGTAAATAGACTAATGGTAAGGTTTCTGATCCTACTATTGACTAATGCCAGCTGAAATCTTCAAGTCCAGATAAGTCTTAATTTTATGCATTTGGAGATAATCGACAGGATTCTTTGCCTCCTGGCACTTGTCAGAAAAGAGTAGCTGCAAACGTCAGTGAAACTAAACCCTAGATGATATTCGAAGCTTACCGCAATAACGAATCTTCTGTCTTAGTAACGATAATGCAAACGTAAGCGAACAAAGTGAGCTAGTTACATACACTTCAGGGAGTATACCGTGAATTTAAGTCTTGCTAAAAATCGTTAACGCCATAATCAGCGCCTAGAAAGAAAAGAGTATTCTGTTAATTGACTCCTATCATCGAAGGTCAACAACGTCATCAAATCAAATCAAGTTCTGGTTCAAAATAAAAGTCGTCAAGACATTATGTGTTCATTACTTACGTATTTCTGGTAATGAAAGATTCTCATATGGATTACCATGGGCGGAGTAATACTATGAATACAAAAAGAAAAGATAGTTTGGTAAAAGTAAAACAAAAACATTTAAACGTATCAATTCTACAGCTTCACTACATTAAAAGACAACATTTAACTCGCGAACAACAGTGATAATTATACACATTATATATATCACATATAACCACTGAAAACGGAATCGATCCTAAGATCTCCATCTCAAGAGGAATGCAAGGTACTTATTTGAGACAGAAGTAATGGAGAAGCATCATTATAAAGACTGCATCGTTTATTTCAGCGACAGAAGTAAAATCCTCATAATCAGACATGGCCTAAGACAATGGGATGGTCCGGGACTCGATTCTCGGAAGACGCCCTTCTAAACCTCGCTTAATCGGTATTAAGCCCGGTAAAAGAGGAAGTTTGGACGTGAGGCCAGTAACGTCACCTCGTCAAAAAGAACACCACTCTTACGGAAACTTCAAAGCTCAACCCTGAAGCCCCGAGTTCCACTCGGAATGCAAAAGAATAAAATAAAATTAAAAAAACTTAAGTGCAAGTATTTAATTATGTTTCCAAAGCTGTTTACGACCTCAAAGTATTTTTGTTTCTCTCCACAGAATGCTGCCTCTTCCGTCTCGGAACAGAATTCTACGGGCTTCAGAGGTAACGTAATACCTTACTAAGCTAATACGTCAAGTATTTCAATGAGATTCCCATCAAAGTGGGTGAAATGCCTTATCTAGAGCCTGGTTAACAGAACGCTAATACTGAACCTTTCGATGAATAACAGTATTGATCAAGATGGTCTCAGCATGCATCTAATAATTATAAATTCGTTTTGTCTGTGCTTCTGTTGGGCTTCAGGAGGTCTATCTGTCGAAAGGAAAAACGACACAACGATAATGACAACAGAAATTAACACAAATACAACGAGTATATTCGACATCTTGGCGTATGACAACACGTTTTTGAAGACATTTTACCCTTTGCCTGATTGGCCATCGTCGGCCTTCTGAACCCATAGCTAAAGGTCGATAATGTTTAGGAGTTCTGTGGATAGGAACATTTGGAAAACTACAATAATCTGTTTCTGTATTTCTAGTTGGTTGTGGCACACTGAATTTATGAATACGCTTCGGACTTGTACTTCGACTTCTTGTATTCACCATGTAAGTTTGTGGCCTTAGAATGTTAGAGAATGGAAGCCTATTATGCCGATCTCTAGGACTGAGATGACTTCGGCTACTGTAAATAGTTTCAGGATATCTTTCTTCATTGGATGATGATGAAAATGGATTCACATCATAGTTTGTATACCGACTGTCTGGATAGTAATGATCAAGTAATATTCTTGTACCGTATTTGCTTATAATATCATGTCTAGGATCCGGGGATATTCTACCGCTGTAGGTGAAACTTTTGAAAGACTTTGGATGTTTGCTGGAATAGCTGGACTGTTGATCAGCATGTACGGGGTACATTCTATTATCATAAGGACTATGCACCTGTTGTCTACGTTGTATCCCTTCTTTTCTATTCATTCTTTCATCAGTTAAGTATCTATGATATTCGTGATGCGGATATCCTCTGTCAGAATAACTTCTTGTACCACCTCGAGGTTTCCATCGGCGATTTGGATAGTCTGTAGTTAAATTATACGAAGAAGATGTACGAAACCAACGATTGGCGGAGTCTTTGAAAGATTCACTTGAAACAGAACTGTTCAGTGAAGCTTCATCACTATGGTAGTAGGCATCTTTAGGAAGACCAGATTTTGCATTCAATTCATAATCATCTGAAATTGATCGTGTCTGACGAAGTCTGTGTTTTGTGTGTTTATGGCTACGTTGTTGATGGTAATGTCGTTGTGGAGGATGTTGATGATGATGATGGTGAGAATGAGGATAATGGTAACGGTGGTCATAATTTCGATCGGTTGATGTCTTTTGTGAATTACGTGTCTCCCAGGATGATTGTTGTGGAGTACTCTTAACCTTCAGTGATTGACTATAACTTTTTATCGGTTTAGGTGAATGGTGGTCTGATGAAGTTTGTGAATCATCACTTAACTCTTGTTTTTCTAGTTTACGGCGTAGTAATAAAGCCTAGAAAAATATAAGAGTAATAATATACAAGAACTTCCGCATTGATAAAAGGTAGGATAAACTATTTAATTTTATTTATTTTATTTTATTTTGATTACAGCTTGATGCCACACCGTATTTTCAGTACAAGTATGACATTTTCAGCGCGGATATCGGTAGCCCAAATTTGCAGGCCGACCATAGATATCGGGTGTGAGTCGGCAGGGGATCGAACCCCGGACCATGCGCATGGTCGGCAAGAGTCCTAACCACTGTGCCACCGACGCACTTTTTTAGTGATAAAATCCTCACCAGCCAATTAGGTGGTTAGGATTTGATTCCCACCGAGTCACTGCTGAATCTCTTCCAGTTTACTAACCTGTAGTTAACTCGATGAAGAGAAGGAAGGTCAGGCTTGGGGCTAGCAGTTCCACCCCGCGAAAACATTACCTTCGCTAATGAAATTTCCACTGGAAAGGCAAGGTATGGAGAAAACTGAAGAAATAAATGTCAATCGGTTCACTCATAATCCATTGTCAGTAAATGTTTTGAGAATTTTCAAGAAAATCTCGCTTCACATTCTGTTGTGATTGATAAACCAAAAAGAATGTATCGAATGCAGATCGGAGCTCACAACAGACTAAAGTGGTTTATTTGAGGTTTGTCGTGAAATTTTTAAACTTTCTGTCACCGCAGTCTGACATCAAGTGGAAAATCATCAAAATCAAGGTGTGATAAACAGATAGTATGTTCTGAGTACCGACATCACGTCAGTACGCATTCAAACTCCAGTTATAACATTAGATGGTAGCGCTTTAGATTTGTCAACATCACTTCATCATTGAAATAATACCTTAATTAAAAAAATGTTTTTGACTATTTCATCTACACAATAACCACTATCCTGAATCATCAGTAATTGGGGGGGCTTTACGCCACACTTTATAATTCAAGAATGTTGGTAGGCGCTGCTAAGCAGTACTACAAGAGTATAGTGTGTACCTTTTAATTGACTTTTAATGCTTATGTTTGGTAATATGGCTGCGTTAAAAATAGATTCTTCAGAACCATTCATTCAAAAATTTAGAGGCGCAGCATCTGCATACGTGACCTTTAATGTCTGGTTGTAACTTCACAAAAGTTTCTGCTTTAGATTGTTCTTATATGAATAAATTCTTATCTGAAGTTAACAAGTGGTCTCACCTAAATGGTTTTAAACTGAGTTCATCTAAACGTTATATTGTTGATTTTAGTTCCAGATCGCCTTCCCTGATGGGCAATGTTAGCTGACATAGGGTGAGGTTGGAAAAGAGCCAGAGGTAGTCAAACAAAAACATGGCATCAGTCAGTGAAATCCACAACAGTTAGTTTAAGCCAGCCACGCAGGAAGGCGGTGACTTCTTGGTTGGGGTCCTCGAGACGGTAAACACCAATGGGTGGAGATGATTGGTGATGTGGCTTAAAATCTTTCTCAATAGATGGGCACAGATGCATCCACTCCTCGTGACTTATAATTTCCAATAAAAAATATATTGTTCTTCGTTATTACTATTCCTTTTGTCTCACATCCCTTTTTACTGTCTCCATTTAGCATTTCTTTCTATTTTCTTCTCTTGCTTTTTGTGTTACATGGAGGGAGTGTGGCGACTTGATTTGCTGCACATCGGTGCAAAGTTTTATGGTGATATCAGTCAGTCAGTCAGTCAGTCAGTCAGTCAGTCAGTCAGTCAGTCAGTCAGTCAGTCAGTCAGTCAGTCAGTCAGTCAGTCAGTCAGTCAGTCAGTCAGTCAGGCAGGCAGGCAGGCAGTTAGTTCCAGATGCGAGCAAGATTTGCGTGGACTGATTCACTTCCATGATACCTGTATTGTTGACCGCTCTGTGATAGGGGTTAATCGAATATCTTTCATCCCGGTATAAGTTTCTCTTCGAACCTCTCTTGGCCGTCTCATAGCCTGTTGACTTTTAAGTGAAATTTTTGTCAACAGGCACTCCAGTTTTGAAAGCAGTTGGCTAAAGTTACCTAGTCTGAAACCGAACATACTCTTCATTCACAACCCTCTCTTTGTATATCTTCTAGTAAAACCGAAAGAAACTTCATGCGAATTTATGCTCGTACAGCTAATAAATATAAAAATTCCACCATACCATAATTAGCAAGAGTTTTGTGTGAATGTGAGACAAGAACTCGCAAGCTTCTTAAATCCCTAATCTCAACTGCAAAGTATAAGGAAACATTATTATTAACATATGCATTATTTATCATATTAAGTAATTATAACCCATTACGTTACCAGAATTTCATTATGAGCCGCCATCGGTTAGAGAACCATTGGAAGACCAGAAAAGAATACTATTTGAGATTCCTCGGCATTACGCACCCGAGGCCAGGATTTGAACTCAGGACCTTCTGGTTACAAGGCGAGCTCGTAGACCATAAAGCCACTGGGACCCTATTTAATGGCCAGTCCATGAATTCCAACTTCTGGCAATTCACGACATGGCTTGACCACTAACGACTGTCATTGACGAGTATTTGTCCTCACACCTGACCTGCTGTACCACAGTAGTCACGGCTTCTCGCTAAAAATACATCGAAACTATTCATGAATTGTCAGAAGTTGGAATTCGTGGTCAACGATTTCGCCTTTTAACCTGAAGGTCCTGAATTTGAATCCTGGTGGGTGTGTACCGCGGAATAGCCACAAATTAGTGGGACGAAACAGCTGCCCCGTAATCCCAGTTTTTCCAACAGTTCTCTACCCGATGTCAGTTCATGATGAAATTCTGAAATCAATCAAATTCTAGTAAACCGACACTTGAACCTTCAGTTTTTTGTGGTTTCGTTAATATTTCTTTTTAGTTTCATGTAACTACTTATTTATAAAAGGAGCTAAATTGTTGCAATATGTATAAAAACGCTGAAGATTCCATTCTATATAATTATTATTGTTGTTTGGAATAAAGGGATTACAATTATAATTGTTATTATAAGTTGGCTGTATCAGCGAATCCCTGACTGTAATTAAGTTAGCAAAAATAACTGATAAGGGTGTTTAGCATTAATTATTATGCGAAAAGGATTTCCAACAGCCCGTTGCAGACTTTCATCAACAACTGCCTTCGCTCCGTACTGAAGTTCAGATGGCCTGCCAGAGAGAATTAGCAAAAGGAAACTTTGGCCGACAGTGAACCGACAAGGAGCTGACTGCTCAACAAATAAAATAAAGATCGATCAGGCATACATCAACAAAACCGTCGGATACCATTTCACGTCAGACCCTCGAGTAGAATCCAAGTGGGAAGTGACGAGTGGATAGTCTGTGCGACGGTGACATGGAGGAGATCTTGTGATGTGGAAGAGATAAGAGATTATGGCCAACCTTGGAACCAGATGAGGAAGACAGCAGAAAATAGAACGAAGTGGAGATGTGTTGTTGATGCCCTATGTTCCACTCGGAAGCCAAATGAATAATAATATTTGTCACACAGTTAAAAAAAACTATCTCATATACATTCAGTCTTTTAGTCAGAATTCGAGACCATAATATCTCCAGCTTTAACATTATTTTACATAGGCATAGCTTATTCATTCTCTCGTAATCCTGAAACTTACTTCAGCTGAGCCTAATGCATCTGCAGTTGGACTAGGCTTACGTGTAACTGTTCCAGCTGATACAATCAATAGCCCTTGATTATCATCAGAGTTCAAATTTTCAGCATTAGGATAAGTATTGATTTCATGTATGCCATCAACTGACGACAAAGATACACCGGCCATTTTTGCTGAATCTTCATTCTATGAAATAATTGAAAAAAAAACACAAATATGAAAAGAAAAGTTAACGTGATGTTGAGATAACTACATGTAATTTGAAACTAACTGAACATGTAACTCATGAGGATGGTGTAAGTTGAGACTAAAAAAATCGAACAGAAATGGTTCCCTATCAGAATAGCTACATGATAGTTGACTTTTGTTTTAAAAGATCTGATGATTTGAAAAGTTATGCATGTTTAAAACCTAATGGTTATTGGCGGTCTGCTTAAAATTTGGGCTACCGAGAATCTCCATCAACATGTTGCATATAGTTTCTCTTATCCAGTAAAATATGACCTCTTATAGTATTGTTTACTCTGACGAGTATTTCAAACATTTACAACCTGCCGATTTGTAAGTTTCTACTTAAACATGAGAAAACGCATTATCCTCGATGAAAGCTTATTCCATTACATGAGATGACCATTCCTGAGTGCTGTCCTTGGTTCACGAAATGTACTATTGAACTTCTCATAATTGGCCTTCAACAGAATGTCGTTTACTCTGTCGAAGGAGAAAAAAGAAAGGATCGACTGGTGGATGGTGACTAGCAATGGAATCAAGGATGCGCATTTCGTCCTAGGTGGGACCCATCGTTGGATGTATCTGCATTCACCAGTGGGTTATGGTGCTTGTTTCCGCCGAGGTTTTAACCCAGTGGCCATAGTTTCAAACGCCTAAGTGTTATCCACTGGACCGCTTGGGGTACTCTAATTTACATAGATTTATATATAAAATTTTAACCAATGACGGTGATTTTGGGAATCAAATAATAATCTTAATAGTCTTAATAATAATCATAATAATAATAATGTGGTAAATGTTTTGAACATAGTTAATAACGATGATTATAATGATAACAAAATATTGATAATAAGGTTTATGCAGGTGATAAGAATAACAAAGATAGTATATGTATATAAGTGTCTAAATAAATTGGGTCATATCTTAAAAAGGTGAAGTGGAACGATAATCAGAGTTTAAATAAATATTATAAAAGTACAAAGGAAGTGGAAAATAAGAAAGGGTGGGAGGGTTTTGAATACAATTCACCTAGGCCAAGGGAGAGACAAAGGTAGAACAAACTTCTTTTGTATGCAAAGACTAGGATTGTTCTCTCGAATTCCCATAGCTTCGGTTAGGTGTAAAAGACGGGTTCTGATTCCATTGGAAAGACTCGATGGAATACGACAGATAACTTTGAAAGCACTATTTTTGTTCACTTGGTGACCGCTATCAATCAAATGAGCCAAAATAGAACTTCGTATGGATTTTATTTGACCTTTTCCGAACCATGAAGGAAGATGCTCATTAATGCGTTTGTTGAGCTGTCTAGTTGTTCACCCTATATAGCTTTCTCCACAGGAGCAACTAAATTTACAGATACACATCGAAGGGGCACAACTAGGTAACTTATCTTTCACTTGAGCAATCAAAATTGGTCGGCTGGAAAATGACAAACAAAGGGTGGCGGCAGTATAAGTCCGTTTTATCGCTCTCGATAATCTCAGATGTAAGGCTTCACTAGCCACGTCCCCATTAAATTGAAGTTTCATGAACAGTTCTTTCTTTTTAACTGTTGCCAGTTTTTCTTTGTTGTACCTGGTATTCATGTGTCTCCTAACAAATCTACTAGGATAACCCATTTGGGCCAGCGTATTTTGGATATATCCTAGCTCATTTTCTAGGGAGTCATCTGTACAAATACGTCTTGCTCTATTCGTAAAGCATCTGACCAAATTGATTTTATATCGGATTGGTACAAAACTGAGGAAATGTGTATATTGTCCTACAGGTGTAGGTTTTCTGTAGACAACTCTCTTGAGTGAACCATCCTCTCTTCTGCTCAATTGGACGTCAAGGAAATGTAATCCACCATCATGTTCTTCTTCAAAAGTGAAGATGAGCTTATATGTCTTGTTCTAATATTATAAATGGGAATATTTAAACACTTGGGGTACGACAGCCACCTGTCGTGCAATCAATCTTATGAACTATTTAATTCAACTTTTAGATTTTCCTACCGGTTGGTTTGCGCTTCAGGTCAGATAAAACTGAACTGCACGATCTACTGTCAATTAATCTTTTATTGAAAGCTCCTGGACGAAGATAAAATATAATGCAACAAACTCTACTGCAATTTCCGTACAGTATATAAACATAGTTCAGAATAAGGCAATTATAGTTATCATTATTATTACAATGCACAAAGGGAATCGTCGCTGCTTGGCTTTCTGTGAATCATAACAATTTCAACTCCCGATCTAATACATAATGGCACTGAGCTCGAAATCCGTTCTACTTATAATGGAATACGTTTAATGCATGACCAATGGTATTACTGATTATTTCTGCCCATTTGTCACCAGGCTGTTTATTACTGTATTACGCCGCTTCTTAACCTGATGAATTTCAGTTATTCGGAGAATAGCATAAATATTTTGAAGCTAGAGGATTTCATCATCAGCTGACTTTGGTTAGAGGGTCATTGGGGAATCCAGGAGTACTGGACATCTGTTTCGTCCTAGTTCCAAAGGATTATTCACCAGTATGCGCCCACTGCAATAAATTCCGCTGGAAATTCTGTACATCATGATAAACATTGTTCAGAATAAGGCTACTATTTCTATTATTGATATAGGGATAGAACATGGGCACTGTGGTCGAGTATAATTCCATTATGGATAAAATTTTTACCCTGATAAAGTCTTATAGTGTTATACAGTAATATTTATGAATAACGTTTCGAACACAGTTTATTTATCATAATCATATCAATGTACTCACAGAACTTTTCAATTTCGTTTATATAAGTGAGTAAACAAATGATTGAATTCTTCGTAATAAAGTGTGGTATTACAGAATAGTAGAATTATATTCATATATATTTATATATTCCTTTGTGTTGCGAGGGGAACAAGGGGCTCTTAGCTCTAAGACTTTAAGTTTTCTAAGGGGCAGGTTTGTTGGCTTATCACCAAGACTATTTTCTTTTCCAGGCTTAATAACGATTTGAGTTTAGGGCTGAACTCTGACTACATTCTTGGTTAGCAAACATTCCACTCCTCAACAACTGATGCACCTTTAACCAGGGACTACTTGACAGGTGTTACATCATAATTTGTAGCTTTTCATCAGTCCGCACCTACCTAGGCTAGAGCTTAGGATCATCTGGTTGCCAGACCGGCTCAAAGAACATTCAGTTACTGGGACTTCTAGAAGAGTTATCGAGACAGCTTTTATTACTTTTTTGAAAAAACAGCAATACTCGTTCACTTCATTGACGATTTATCTTTTTTGAATACATGAAGTACCAATTCAGAAATATATAAGTCGAGCTGAACATGTTAAGTTGGAAATTACTTATAACTCAGTCCCATCGAGATGGTATTTTCAGAATGCTCCTATGAATTTTCATTGCCGGATCTGGCAAGAGGGCTGATATAGTACACGACCATATGGATGTATGGTATATGCATGCGTTTTACTGTGATAGTGCCTGAGAGTCTGTGGTTCATTGGAAGACTGCTCTCTAATCACGCCAGAGATCTGAGCTGTATTCCTAGTTGACGTACACCTAAACTTCATCTAGCTTTCTAACCAATAATATGCTTGAAAACAGACAGAAGGTTACGAGTGAGGCTAAAAACCCCACTACATAAAAACAGCATTAATGATGTCGAAAGTTTAGAGCTATTAGTCAGGTGTTACAATCGAAACTCAAGTATTGAGAAGTAATTAACGCAATCATTCATGTGAAATCAACTACTTATATTTTTTCAGTGGTATGTGAAGTTTAATCATCAATCCATGGTGATTGTGGTGTGGTAAAAAGAAAGTTTATGGATTCATGTTTAAACGATTTGATAAGTTGACTCCACAATCCTGTGTTCGATTCTTGGTGGGATTAGGGGTGCGTGTTGCTGAAGAGCCTTAAACACTGGGGTAAAAAGCTGTCCAATGCTGTCTGGTTTTCGAAATAAAAGTGTCGTATAAGGTCGAAAATTGACCAATGAAACTATTATATGTCCAAATTTGAAACACATAATCTTCTACCTTTGAAGAGAATACCTTCAAAAAATATCTGTCCTAATTTTAGCCACTTCCTATCAGTCTCCTTTGTCGAAACATCTTTGTTTATCTATGTGAAAGGGAATCAATTGGAAGGAATCTCATGGTTATCCAGATTTCGAACTTTTTAGAACCAGTCTACACGGCTTTTCTTGTAACCTTGAAGATAATTAAATAATCTCGTTGGTTTGACCGTGCTTCAATCAGTAGCAACCTCGAAGAATTCACCATCAAGTTATTCTTTTTACGAAATACAGTCAACAAGTGATCATCATTTTCTTTATTGCTGGCGATAAAATAATCGTCAGGAAGTAGAAGAGGGTTGCCTCCACACTAACTCTTTCATGTATTCAACGTGAAATCATTAACCAAGCGATACGTGTGTGATCAATACGTTGTGCTCAGCTGACCGATGTTTGGAAGTAGCTGCACTGACTGCTCGACCTATAGGTGATCCCTTGACGCGGTGGTCAGCTTTGCACATTGCAATGACCCAATGAGCTACAGTGACTGGAACTAGTGTTGCTGATGGTCCTACCATGTCAGGAAGATCGTTACCACCACAGTGTAAGTTGTTTAGATTATCCTGGATGTCTGTGGGTGAAGTCTCACTGTTGGAGAATAGGAATGTACTGGCAGCAAGGCGTTTCGCTCAGATGAACAGCATGTCAACTATGCCGTCTGTACGCTTCAGAAAGATGAGGATTAGAAAAGGCTGACTCCAAAAATTGTACATTTCGAATTACGTGGTGGCTGTCCATAGCCGGCGGAAGGATCTTAATATGGACTTAACCTCAAAAATTAATTCAAACAGGCTGTGTAAGACCAACCCCAGGTATTGTTCCCTGCAACGCTAATGCTCTTTATGTCTCAGGTACTCTAAGAGAAAATCAACTTCCCTGGTTTAA